AATGATGTGCAGTGGAGAGTGGGCCACCAAGCCCTACTGGAAGTCAAGGGGACCAGTGGGAAGAGTGAGTTGAGGGCTCTGTTAACACAGAACAGCATGAGCAGACATGGGATACACATCTCAGTTACCTTTCTGTTTCCTGCACTGAAGAGGAGAAAAGTCCCTATGCACAGGGGTTCAGTTCTGCTTTCTCTTGGAGAAGTTTCTTCACTCCCTAGACAAACCTGATTAAAGAGCACATTTGAAACCCAAGTGCCACGGGCACAGAACTATCCAACCTTGTTCATTTGCTCAATTACATTATTATTGTTTTTAGTGCAATATAGTTTGATTATATTTATCCCCTCCCCCAAACTTTTGATGGCTCTTCCCACCTCTCTACCCTTCCAACTTCTCTTTTTTTCAACCCTTCCCCATGAAAAACCAAAAACCAACCAAACAAACAAACAAAAAAACAAAACAGGAAAGCATAGCAAGCAAAAAAAGTAAAAAGACTAAACCCACCAAATTGTAACAGCAATAACAAAAAGTGCACACAAACATGGAGTTTGTTTTGTTTGGTTAACTACCCCTGAGCTCGGGGCCTGCGCTGGAGTGTGGCTTATATGTCTCTCCATTGGAGGAAACTAATTTTGCCCCTCTCACCAGGTATCAGTGCAAATAGCTTTTTGGTTAGGGGTAGGATTTGTATCCATTTCCCTTTCCCCTTCTTCTTGCTGGGGTTGTGTCTAACTTGAACCTGTGTAGGCCTTCTGCATTCTGTCGTAGTCCCTGAGTTCGTATGTGCATCAGCATGCTATGTTTGGGGATGATGTTTCCTTGGAGTCATCTGCCACCTCTGACTCACTCACAGACCTTCAGTTTCGTTTTCAGCACAGATCACCAAACATTTAGAGGAAGGGTTTGATACAGACATTCCATTTAGGGCTAAATTTGGTGTTCGCTCTTTATCAAAGAAGGAAAGGGAAACTTACAAAGGTATTGGCCCAAGGCCCCACAATAGGCAAACTGGCATACCAGGGCCTCGAACATGGATCTTGCGTCCTTCACCCGCTGCACTTTGTATAACCATACTGGAACATTAGTTCTGACTATTATTGTGACGGTGTATGTGTGTAGGGTGGGTAGACACCAGCTCATTGCTGACTGTGACCGTACTAGCTAACAGCCAGAACGGCAATATCAGTCTTTTGAAGTGGGGAATCACATCTGTCACTGAGTGTCCCCGGTGGGTACCTAGACTAACCTTGGAGAGAAGGTGAATGGCTTTGCCTCTCTGCTCTAGAGTTCCTAGATATGGAAGGCCACTTAAAGAATCTGTTGGAAAACTTGGTTAGACTTTCATCACTATTTTTCCCTCTGGAAAATTGAAATAATGAGTTTTTACTGGCATTGGCTGTCAGTGAATTTAAGGCCAGTGATTCATTTCATGTTACAAGAATCAAGAACCAACTGTTCTCCATCATCCCTAGAGATTGGCACAGATGAAGGAGGAGGGGGAGAACTGCGAGGCTTCCCCAGGCTGGCCAGAGATTTGGAGGAGATGCTTCTGACAGAGCCTTTTGGATCTGTTTACACCTGAAGAGGGAGAGATAGGTTTTCTAATATGATATGATTTAGCCCTTAAAATGTCAATTTAGGGAATCTGGTGGGGAGAGGAAGGGTGAAGGGAAGGGGGAGGAGAACATGAGGGAATGGGAGGGTTGAGTTAAGGGAGGGACAGAGAGGGAGAACAAGGAAAGAGATTTCTTGATAGAGGGAGCCATATGGGGTTAGGGAGAAACCTGGTACTAGAAAAACACCCAGGAATCCACAAGGATGACCCCAGCTAAGACTCCGAGCAATAGTGGAGAGGGTACCTGAACTGGCCTTCCCCTGTGATCAGATTGATGACTACCCTAATTGTCACCATAGGACCTTCATCCAGTAGCTGATGGAAGCAGATGCAGAGATCCACAGCTAAATACTGGGTCAAGCTCACAGAGTCCAGTTAAAGAGAGGAGTGAGGGATTATATGACAAGGGGGTCAAGATCATGAGATGGCGACCCACAGAAAGAGCTAACCCAAGCTAGTGGGTGCTCACTGTCTCTGGACTGACAGCTGGGAAACCTACATAGGACCGAACTAGGCCCTCTGAATGTGCGTGACAGTTCTGTGGCTTGGAAAGTCTGTGGGACCAGTGGCAATGGGGTCAGAATTTATCCCTAGTGCATGAAATGGATTTTTGGAGCCCATTCCCTATGGAGGGAGACCTTGCTCAGCCTCCATACTAGGGTAGGGGCTTGGTCCTGCCTCAACTTGATATGCCAGACTTTGTTGACTCCTCATGGAAAGCCTTACCCTTTCTGAGGAGTGGATGGGGGCTGAAGGGGGAGGAGTTTGAGGGAATAGAAAGAGGGAAGGAGGAACTGTGATTGGTATGTAAAATAAAAATGTCAATTTAATGTTGGTCACCTGGGAAATAGAGACTGGTGGATCTCTTTGAGTTTGAGGTCAGCCTGGTCTACATAGTGTGTTCCAGGACAGCCAGGGCTATATAGACCTTGCAAAAAAATTGGCAGTTTAGGGTAGTTCACACTAATAGTGACTGAGCACCAGAACTGAACTACTCTGGTAAGTTATTTGCTTATTTATTTATTTCACCGTATCTTACTTTGTAAGCCCAGGCTGGTCTTGAACTCACGTTCCTCCTTTCTTAGGCTCCTCCTGCATGCGTGCACCACCACGCAAAGCCTGAGCTATTCTGATTGCTGCTTGTTTGCATCGCTGTACAGAGATGTGTGCAAGTGAGTGTACATGTAGGCCCGAGGGGGACATAGGATATCTGTCTCGAGCACTCTCTATTGCTTCCCCCAATAGAGGGTCCTTACCGAATATGGAGATCACCATTTTCTCCACAGGCTGGTGACCTATGATCCTTCTCTCCCCCATGTCTCAAGCACTGGGATTCCAGGTGTCTATGGCTAACCCTGGCTAACTCTGGCTAACCCTGGCTAACCCTGGCTAACCCTGGCTAACCCTGGCTAACCATAGCTAACCATGGCTAACCCTGGCTAACCCTGGCTAACCCAGTACCTTTTATATAGGTATTGGGGAATCTGAACTCAGGACCTACGCTTGCACAGCGAAAGCCCTCTCCAGTCCTTGGTTGCTGTTTGCATGGGAGACACAGGCCTAACTTCAGGCATAGGGTTCCAGGTCCATCAGGTGTTCCCATTTTATTCTTACCGTTTCAGGGATGTTTGCCACACAACCAAGCCATGAGCTTCAGTGCCTGGTTGCATTAATGGAAGCCAGTGGACTCGCCCTGCTCTCATGCTTTCTTGCCAGCATGGCTCAATCTGTTTGTGTTTTACAGTCCATTATGATCATGCTGAGGGTATGAACAGGCAGATGTATTTTTTCATATCTATGTGTGTATGGTATGCATGCATATGTGTGTGTTCTCATGTGTGAAGGCACACATCAGTGCGTCTGTGGGACATATGTGCATGCGTAAGTGGGGATTCATGGTTGGTGTTGGGATCTTCCCCAGTTCCTTCCCATCTTATTCATTGCAGTGGGATCTCTCAGTTAAAAACACGTCTTGGATGCAGCTAGTCTCATCATAAAACCTGCTTTAGGGATCCCTATCTCACCTTCTAAGGCTGGAGTTCTGGATGGCTGCCACACCCATCTGCCCTTCATGTACCTTTGGGGGATCCAAACCCAGATTCTCTTGTTTGTGTTGCAAGCATTTTAATGGCTGAGCCATCTCCCTTGCCACCTAGCTGTATTTTTTTTCAAGTCCTAAGAGGTTCTTGCCCTTGGATATTTAAATATCCAGAAATAAAAATAAATGAACTGATTGATAGAATAGTTGATATAATCTGTCCACGATTCCTGATACCATTGAAGACCAGATCAATGCCAGGGGTCTGAGCCACCACCTGGGACTGTGTTAGTGTCCTTGGGCCATGCTGTTGCAGGGGGCCATGCTGAGCACCCTGTGCTGCCACCTGGGGTCATGGTGACATCCAGGCCTGGGCTGCTGTGAGGATCATGTCTGGGCCTGTGGTCCTACCGTGGCCAGGGTCTGTGTTGATATCTATGGCACCTGGTGCCACCAAAGGTCACATGGATGCCTGGGGTCTAGGCTGCAACCTGTGGCCATGTTGCCACCAAAGCCATGCCAGTCTGGTTGGCCTGTGCTGCCATATGGGGCCATGGTGTCATTTGGGCCTGAGCTGCCAAGGGCCATGTCTGGTTCTGTGTTCCTCCTGCACGTATGGACCATGCTACTGTAGGGGTCATAGGAGTCATTCATGTTGAAATCCAAAGGCTGTGCTGAGCTGGCCTTGCCACTCACTGGCCCTGGGATAGCGGACTCCACCCCTCATTGGGAGAGTCCTCTCCACCCCCCCTACACTTGGGAGAGATGACTCCACCCCTAAACATGGATGTGGGAGAGCTGGCTCTGCCCCTCACCTGACAGGGTGATGGTCCTAGTGGTCCAGACAGATCGGCTCAGCTACCATCCAGCTCCACATCCTGGGACTTGGTTTGATACACCCTGACATCTATCCCATCTATGACCTGCTGGAATATATGAACAGACTCGTCCCAGAATGATGGCAGAAGGACCTCTGTGACTTGGGGCAGCAGCAGGAACCGAGAGCAGTTTGGGAGAGGGTCCAGTGAGGACGGTGTGCCAGGGGCCTTGAACCATTGCAATGACCATTTTGCCGTGGAGCTGCATGGGCAAAGCTGTACTCTGTGACACACTGTAGCACCCATTGTCACTGGGAGAAAGGGAGAGGCATTGGAAAGACAGAGGGGTAAGGTGAGTTTTTTGTTTGTTTTAACTATTTTTGGGGGGTTCTTTTGGGGTGGTGGGATGGAGACAGATATACAGGGACTGGGAGGTGCGTTGGATTGGGATACATGATGTGAAATTCACAAAGAATCAGAAAAGAATTGTGTTATATCAAAAAGAATTGGCACAATCAATTTCCTGCAGCTTTCATTGCCAGTTTATTAAATTACAACTATTATATATGTTAACATACATAAATTTTCATTGACAGAGATTAGAATTCATACATGTGATGCATACTAGTTAATTACGGACCCAAGAACATACAATATGCATTTTACCTTGGCGATGTGACGTTTTAACATAAAACATACAACCAATGGAAGCACATAGGGCTTATCACTAAAATCAGGCGAACACCTCTATTGGGTCAGCCTGTATGCCCTCTGAGACAAAAGAGGGGAAAATGGTGTGTCTTAATCACTTTAAGACTAAAATCATCTAAGTTCACGGTTCTGTTTACTCACGACTGTGAGTCTCCTTCCCCCTGCGTGCACACAGCAGAGCAGGACTTCCTGTCACTGACCCTCTTGTCGTGAAGGTGTCTAAGTGTGACAGGTGCTCAAAAAGTAAGAAAATAAAACAAAAACCCCCAACCAGCCAGCAATCCCAAGATCAAATGGAAAGGCTGCTGAGCACGGTGTCGGGGACAGGAAGCCCAGATCAGTCTCCACGTTCCATCCAGCTACTGCCCAGCACCAAGCCTCGCAGAGCGTCTCGCCTGGCCTGTGTTTCTTCACTCTTGAAGTGATGTGAATTTGGATAGAAAACTCTGCAGTTCATGCCAGTTCTAAAATCCCATGACCTTTTATCTACTGGTTAAGACCCCAGGGTTGATAGTGTGGGGGAGATTACTTTTCTAGCCCAATGGGAACCCCAAAACTCTTGGCAGGGCTGTCAGGTTTGTTATGATTGGATAGAAGGGTGACCACATGGCCATAGATTTGAAAAAGGAATCCTTTGACTTCCTCCCTCTCCTGACCTCCGTGATGCAATAGCTGCTACAAAACTCTCCAGGGAATGAGTTGTCACTAACAGGTTAAAAAAAAATCTTATTTGGGGGCAGAAATTTGATTTAGGTATAGGCACCATGTGTAAGTCTCCTTACTCTTCTATATTGCCCCATAGGTAGTCAAAGATATTTCTCCCACCTTTCTTCAATTTCTCCTCTAGTTGCATCAAACAGTGTCATTTGCCGAGCGTAGAGAGTCGGAAGACGGCAGACTTCCAGCTCTGCCTTTTCCACTAACAGACTGTATCACTCTAAAAATGTAACAGCAGTTTGGGCTTGTGAGGGTCCCCAAGGTGGCCAGATGGAAGGGGCAAATGTGTCAGAGCTCGGGAAGAGTTAGCAAGGCACAAGTGCAGCCACTCTGAGCGAGCATTGTCACCTTTACTAAGGGCTCAGCGAATTCTCCAAAGGCTAGCAGCCAATATGCTATAATACTGCCAACATTCAGAACAATGATGTAAGCTTAAATAAAATACTGAACACAGCAGGGCAGTCCCAGGACTCTAAGCCAGGGGATTTTGAGGCCAGGCGTATCTGCATGGATTTTGAAAGGGACAGGATATAAACAAACCTGCTCTAGAAATTAATACTTAATGTCACAATCATGGAAACCTGATTGAGTAAGGACTTGAGAGAAATACCACGCAAGAGAGTGCTGGCAATGGCCATGCCTTGTGCACAGTGAACTCGTGGACTTCTATAAACCAAGGAGTTACTGCCAAGCATGGCATTGGAATTTCCTTTGGGGTAAAGTAGCTTGCAGGGAAATGGATCCAAGGACTCTGGCGTGCATGGAACCGAATATGTTCCAAGAGATGGTAGAAGTACACTTTTCTTTTCCCACTATCCCTTAGTTAGACAACAAAATCAACTCAGAAGTTATAGCCTTGAAATTGTGTTTTTCCAAACAGATCCAAAGCCAGCTAAGGTCAAAATTCCAATGACCTCTGAAAGATGACTATGACTTTTGCTTTAGCTGGGGACAGAGCCTTTCCAGAGCACCTCTAGGCCATTCATAAAGTTCTAGTATTTTCAAAGGTGTTTGTGTCAAGTTTTGAGGTCAGGAAATAACAATCTCTTACTGGTTGTTGTTTCAGGGCTGGCTCTCACCGTAGGGAGCTGTATTCTTACATTCCTCTCTTGTTTATCTATGGGAAACTGCCCTTGCTTAGCTATTATAACAACACTCAAGAGGAAATGCAAATCATTCGGTTACTGATTGTCCTCAAATGGTGCCCATATTCATAATAAGAAAATACCAATGCGTCTCAGGTTAGCTGATTAATTAGCTAACACAACCAGAGTGATGTAAAGCTTCACAAATGATGGAGGTGCCAATCTGTTAGGATGGGTGGATCCGAGACTAAAATAATTTATTTCTCTGTCCCCAGGGCAAGTAAGTCCTAAATAAATGCTTATGGAATCTATTTGAGTTCTGTAGCTTTTTGAGAAACATTTAACCAGCAAAACATTTTTCACTAAATTAACTATTTTCCAAAACACATGCCCTCTTTCCCAAATCCTTAAATATATTACTTTATCTTTGAGGACCAGCCTATGTTCTATTTTTTTTTTAAATTTTAATTTAAATGAGATCCTGTTATATAGCCCAGACTTGTCATAAAATTACTACTTAGGTCAGGTTTTCCTCAAACTTATGACAGTCCTCCTGGCTCAGCCTCCCCCATGCTGGGATTACAGATGTGTACCACCACCCTTGACTCCACCACGTTTTTAGAAAGCATTCTTTCCCATATTGCTTTACAAAGCAGTGGCCTCATGTTTGCTGTGGGACCGGTACCTTGGAAACAGAAGTGCTGATTCGAGTCCAATTACGAATGTTTGGTAATGCCCTTCTGGACAGTAATGCACACACACACACACACACACACACACACACACACGCACATGCACACAATATATTATGTATAGTTATATATATTATATATATAGTTAACAAACTCAATAGAGAAAATTTGAGTTCCAGTTTTCCACAAACAGGGGCAAAATGAATACACTATGGGGAACTTCCCAGAGCCTTAGGCATCCCGGGATGCCAGAAGATCCCTGTCTTGGTTAAACTTCCAAGCCGCTCAGATCAGCCATGAGCACATTTGAAGGTCCCTGACACAAAGTTTGTTTTTAGTAGAGGAGGTGAGCAGATCATTTTGGCTGCTCTTGTGAGAGTCTTACAGTAAGTCTGTGCTGCTCAGTGCTCTCGTGCACCATGGAGACAGATGCAGGTAGAACATTCCATTCCCCTTTTCTGACCATGGAGCCAGACGAGATTCATTGATTAAGCATCCTCAACTAATCAATGAACGGGAAGGAGGACATCTCAGAAACATCATGTCTGGAGAGCAGTAGATGGAGCCATTGGAGTCGGCTGTTTTAATTTTTAAAACCCAGCAGGTCTCTAGCAAACACAAGTTCTTCTGAGTTTTCCATTTACTATTTCAGTCCAAAACATATAGAGAGGATCATCTTGAGTTCCTAAATGATGTAGCTAAACCACTGTTCCCATCTTTGATCCCCCACATCCCTCATTAAAGTGGGAAGTAGGGGTCAAGGAAGCCCTACTTAATTGTGGTTGTTTCCCCTTATAGCAAGAAGGCGCCAAAGAAAGTTTTATCTTCTTTTGTGTAATCCACCAAGGAGATATCACTGACATTAACCATCAACCTGTCCCCTTCTTCCAAGGAGAACATAGCCCCAAGGTAGAGGGGCTGAAACCAGTTGCTGCTTATTTCACACACAGACTTGGTTCCTGTGAGGAGGTGGGCGGGCTCGGGGTAGCTGTCTGTTACCTTGGTGATAACCACGAAGATGAGGTCTGGCCTGTTTGGTCGTCTTCCTTGGCTGATGTTGCTACACCTAGATGTGATCCCTCGGAATGTGATCTGGGAGTAAATGAAATAGTCTCCGGACTCAGGGATCACCAGAAATTTGTTGGTATAGTTCATCCGGTTCTTGGTGAAGGCCAAGCCTAGTTCATGTTCCCAGTGCAGAGCGGGAAACTGATTTTGCAGATGTGGCCCTGGGGTTTGTTTAAGAACTGCAAATAGAGGAGAGAAGTTTAATTGACACAGGGCAGGACCTGTGGCCTTTGATAAAGTCGTGTGCTATTTTCCTGTTTTCCTAGTGTGTGTGCAGGTGCCTATATGCTTGTGCTGTGTCTACATGTGTGCATGCAGGTGCATGTGGAGGCCAGAGGTAGAAATGGGGTGTCCTTTTCAGTTGTTCTTCACCCTATGAAGAACATGGGTTTTGAGACATGGGTTTTCACTAAGCCTGGAGTTCACTAACTTGAGTAGATTATCTGGCTGGGAGGTTGTAGGGATCCACTTATCTCTGTCACTCCAGTGCTAGGGACACAGGCATGAGTGGCTGTGCCGAGATTTTTCAGTGGTTGTTGGAGATTCAAGCTTAAGTCCTCATGGCTGCAATGCAAGCACTTTTTCCAGTCCCTGCTTTCTGCATTCCCTTTCCTTGGGACTCTAGGAGCTGATGTAACTTCCTCCACATTCGGAGCTGTGCATTCCTGGTAATTGAAGTTTGTGTCCTGGTGTGGTCATTCATTCCTGGCTCATCATCAAATGTTTTCTTATTCACAAATTGTTGTTCTACATGGATGCAGTGAAAGTTAAAAAATCCCTTTGTTCTTCTGTGCACCTGAAAAGAACCTATTGCTAACAGCTTTCTTATCCAGGACAAATTCGGACACCAGACTGTCCCAGTCCCCATTCTGGGGCCTATGAATGATGAGTCCACCCTGTTATCCTCACTGGCCAATTGGCAAAAACTCATGAAGAATTGTTCTTCCAGGCCCCTCAGCTTTGCCTACCCTCAGCATGACTAGCACCCACTGTCTGGAAGACAAGGCTGACTTTGAGCTAAGACATTCTCAGATTAGCCCTGATTATCCTTCTTTTCTATGCCTGGTTCATTCCAGCTTTTCCTACCCATTCTATACAAGGAAAAATCCTTTGAACTTAGCTAGAGAAACTGGCAAGTTTTGTGTCAAAGCCTGCTCCCAAATGTAATATTTACATCACTATACCAACATCCTTACCATACACAGTCCTGTGCTTGATCATTCACCCCAATTCAGAAAACAAAATATTGGGGGAAAGTAGCATCTACACAGTGTCTTTTCTTTGAACATTTCCCCAGGTATTATAGTAAAAACTCATTATATTGTATCAGGTGTTAAAAGCCAGAAATATTTGCATTTTATCCAGTGTTAAAAGCCAGACGCATTTACATTGTATTGGGTGTTAAAAGCTATTTACATTGTATCGGGTGTTAAAAGCTAGACGTATTTACATTGTATCGGGTGTTAAAAGCTAGAAATATTTATATTGTATGGGGTGTTAAAAGCCAGAAGTATTTAGCATACACCAGGAGGAAAAGTGCAGAGTTTGTTACTGCTCCATCATTTTTTTGAGAGACTACATCATCCAAGGATTGGACTGTCTGCTGGAGATCCTGAAAACAGTTGCCCACCAATATGGAATATATGACTGTACTCTCCTTTCTCCTCTTCTCCTTCCCTCTAGAAAAAATCCTTTTGTATACGTGTCATCTGCAGAATCTAAAAACCCTAAAACCTAAAAACGACAAATACCACTCATGAGAAAGACTAAGGAAGGTGTAAAATCCATGGCTATTGGGAAATGCATTCATCTTTCCTAGCCTTTTGTTTCAGACAAGCTCTGTTCCAAAGAGAAGGAGGGAGGGAGAAATGGAGAGAGGGAGTGGGAAAGGGAAGAGAGAGAGAGAGAGAGAGATCAACCTTGTCATTACATCACAATGTTGGTTGTGGTCCAATGTCACAAAACAGGCAGTAATCAATAATGAATTTCCTGAGGACATGCTGGGACTAGAGACTCAGAACATTTCGGCAATTCCTCTCCCACACTGCCAGAGCCAAATATAAGTCCATGAAATATACTTGTGGGATGGAAGGAAGTTGGGCTCTGGGCTGCATGGGCCCAGTACCAACTCTGATTCTGCACCATGCAAGTCTCTTTAATCAACTGTGCATGTTTTTGTTCTCTTCTACACCTCGATGTCTCATCTGGAAGTTGAGGACTGGGCTCTTTAGAGCCTTGTTCTGAACACTAAGTGGACAGAACCAATGCGGACATTTTATAGATTAAATAAACCGGGTACAGTTGAGCTTGTTTTTTTTTTCTGTTCAAATAAAATATCATGCTTCATTTAGACAGATTAAAGAGTAAGCCTGTGCTATTTATTATATTTCATATGTTCTTATGCTTGCTTCACTCCTAATTCTACATTAAATTAAACATATTAGCTGATGTTTTATGAGACATGTCTATAGTTAAAGGAAATGGATAGAACCAAACTTGTTTCAAACTACTAATGTCAAATAGGATAATTTACAACAAAACTATTAGAGACAACAAAAACATCTTAACTGCCTATAACTGCTTTGGAAACTCACAGCAATCACCATTATGTACTGACACTATAGTTTGTGGCTAGCTTCTGCCTTAAGGAACAATTCAACAACCTGCGCATCCAGCGGGTGACCAGAAACCTAGACTCTGGAGCTTCTAAGGTATCTTTCCCATTGCTGACAGGATTAGGGTTTCTTTTGCAAGCTTGGCACAATCTTGAATGGGTGTGAACTCATCTAGTCTCTACATTAAGTGGCTCTTGGAAAACTCTGGAGCCTCCATATAGACATCTTTGTTAGTCACATCTGGTGGTTCTTCACTGTGGATGATGCAGTGATTGACATGTTTTCTCAGATGATGCATAAACCAGTCCTGTTGTGTCTCTAGAGAGGCAACCCTCATAGCACTGAATGCAATAAGCCGTGTTAGCTCAGCAGCAGTCAGACACGGAATAGAGAGCCTGCTGCAATAAAAAAAGCAAGCTTAACTTTGAACTCTTCCGCTGCGTATCTGTCAGACTAAGAACATGCAAATCATTGTCTGAGTCGGAGTTTCCCGAATGTTTTCTTCATGTGTGTATGTTGTGTGCTTGTGTGCTTGTGTGTGTGTGTGTGTGTGTGCACCTGTGAAAACCAGAAGTTGGCACTGAGTATCGTCCTCTGTGGCTTCCCACCTTCATTTCTGAGGTGGACCTCACAGAGTATGGAGCTTACTGTCTCAGCAGCCGGCTGTCCAGGGAGCTTCTGGGCTCTGACCAGCCTGCACCTAGCACCAGCACTGCAGGTACTCAGGCTCAGTACTCAGGCTCAGAAGCGGCAGCATCCACTGAGCTTGCCCTCCGGCCCCTTCAAGTCAATCCAGAGATCCTTCAGCCATTATGAGAGCCGGAATTGAGGACACAGAATGGAGGAAAACCACTTCAGGATGGCTGGGTGTGTGTATGCCAGAGAAAAACAGAAAGGACAGGCAGAAGGCCGACTGAAGAACACTGAGCACCCGAGAGACATGGGTCCTTGGCTTTGTCACAGGGAAGAAGTTACTCAAAATCCTTGATTGTCAATTCTGATGGCAGTTTGAAGCCACCACAGTGAGTTTTGGTGATATAATGAAAGAAATCTCAGGCCTATCGCCCATGTTGTTCAAAGGAGTACAGGAAGTCTTACTTGTTAGGTGCGCCCTTGGCTTGGCTCTGGAAGGTGTGTCTGTAACGAAACAAGAAATATGCTTTGAGTAAGGCTAAGGGAGTGACGACAGCACCTGTGGGGGGAGAGGAGCATTGACCCCTTGCCTTGCCGCTCAGCTTCATGTATTGTGGGCTTTGGCTTGTCATGAGCTATAGTATCTGTAGGATGCACCGCTGGGGACATGGAGAATCGGGAATAAGAGTCTTGCGTGCAAAGGACTTTGGGTGAGTTGCCTAGCCTGGACACAGTTCTATCTCTGAGATGGGCACAGCAATCTCTACCTTGAATGCTGTGTTTACATGGTAGCTGGCCCTCTAGTCAGGGCCAGTTGACTTTTCATATTCTTGATGTTTCTTTTACTGCATCCAGTGAAGTGTGTGGATAACTCAGCAGAGAAGGGATGGGGCCAAGTAGCATCCACTCTGTTGCTTCATGACCTTGGCAGATCCTTTTCCCTTCTGGGCCTTTTTCTCATTAGTCTTTGAGAAGGAACTTACAATTTCATGTTGGCTTTTGTATTAAAGTTAAACATGTTCTATACTATAGAATCTATAGTGGTAAAGAAGATTCTATTGTATACTTTTGCTGCTTTGGGAATTGCTCTCAGTCCTTAACCGGACTTGATTAATTTCATCCACACTTAGCTAGCCAGAAGGATAACCACTGTCAGAGACGACTGACTGTACATGCCCAGCATGTCTGTGAGCTGTGAGTTTGGACTCAGGCCACATATCATACATGTGTCAGAACACAGTTTTGCCTTCTTTTTGGGGGGGCGGGGGGTGGTTTTGAGACAGGGTTTCTCTATAGCTTTGGAGACTGTCCTGGAATTAGCTTTTGTAGACCAGGCTGGCCTCGAACTCACAAAGATCCTCTTGCCTCTGCCTCCCGAGTGCTGGTATTAAAGGCGAGCACCACCACCGCCTGGCAGCACCACCACCGCCTAGCCATTTTTGCCTTCTTAATGATGGGTGAGGAACCTCACTATTCTTTAAGTGTCTCTGTATCCCCTGGCTTAGCAATGTATCAATTAAAGACCCACTCCCAATTACTTTCATCCTAAAACTATACGAAATGCCATTATTCCCCCCAAGAAAAGGCATCAAAAATGAACACTTACAAACTGGCTGTGGTGAAGGTTCACAATTTTTGTTCTGTATAGCCTGTTGAGAAAGAAAGATACAGTTCAGTCCTTACAGCCCTTCTTACCTCAACACACACACGGATGACAATAGACTCGGCTGTCTAAGCCCTGATGCTCTCCTGGGAGGGAAACAGCTGGTGGGAATCTTGTGTCTCAGCTCTGCACTTCCTTTCGAGAGACCCCCAATGTCCTCCCCTCTTTTATCTTCTAGCCTGAGGGGACCTCAGCATCCTGTCATTGCTTGCAGTAAACCAACAGTGGGAGTTATTTTATTTTTGCCACTTTATTTGGAAGATTTGAGCTATTTCTTATGTTGGCATCTACTAATTGGGCGTCACGGAGAAGTTCATACAGACATTCTCAGTCCAGTACATATATCGTGTACGTTGACTGTCTTCACCCTCTTCTATTCTGTTCTTCTCCTCTTCCTTCCAAGCTGTTTTTCCTTTTCCCAGATTATCTGGTTTTTAATTTCATGAAATCCACCCCTCTATGGCTGTATCATCTCTATACAGGTGATTGCGTATAATTGAGGATCCACATATAAAAGAAAACATGCAATATTTGTCTCTCCAAGTCTTAGGAAATGATCCAACCAAAGAAATAATGGCTATATTTCCTTCTCCTTCCCACCAGTCTTCCTGTTTCCACGGAACACACGAAGGATTCTTCCACTACCCCAATCCTGATTCATAACTCATTTCAGATTTCCTATGATAGAGAAAAGGCAGTTGCCTTGGCATCAAATAGATATGCATTTGGATTGTGGTTCTGTCTTTTACCAATGATGAGATCTTGTGGAAAACACCTTTGTTCTTCAATTTTAGTGTACCCATTTATAAACTGGGAATACGAACACTACCAAATCCAAATGATATGCAGAGCTGAAGAGAAGGTCTAATAAGAAAATGCCCCAATCGACTCAAAGATTATGTGGAAAATACAAGACTCACAGGCCTGAGTACAAGGCCTAGGAGCAAGCAGGCCCTCAACTCACTAGTCATAACTCTGGCCTTTCACACACTTGTGCACCTTCACAAGCCAGTCCTCTATCATGGACTTCTGATCTGTGTCTACAACTAAAAATCTGAATGTGCACCTGTGTGTGCTTAAGAGGGTATGTCTGTGTGAGTGCAAGGGAACAGGCTTCAGCTCAGGAGAGTGCACCAATACGCCCAGGCTCTGCCTACTGCTCTCTGGGTCCCCCTAAAGCCTCTGGCAGAGCTTCATGCCTTTGGTTTCTTCCTTTTGCCTCTGTTCTAGCTCCTCTCTAGAAGGCTAACTGAGGGATTTCTATCATGCTCGTAATCCTTTGGTGGTTCCTCATATACTTCATGATATGCTCTGTATTTTTTTGAAAATTGCATTTTATTTACTTTTGTGTAGGTATGTATATGCACAGTTCATGTGTGGCGGCCAAGGACAACTTGTGCTAGTCTGCTAGCTGCTTCCCATGAGGGTCCTTTACCCACTGAGCCATCTCTCCGCCCACACCTGTAGCTTATCCTGATATCCTGTATCCCACTGATCGCCTGCCTTGTTAACTGCGTCCTTCTCTTTATGCCCAACTGTAAGAGTTTGCCACAGTGCATGAATCAAGAGATTTCAAAGTACAGAGAGTTCAGCTGTTGCTTATGTATTATAAGTACATCCAGTCTCATGAAACACTCTATAATGGTTGCTATTCACATCCTCATAGTGGCGGTGGGGCTTGTTGAATATTCTATATTCCACATGAGGTAGAATAGCATGTTAACTCTGGTCAGGTGACTGACAGCTTATAGACAAGCTCCTGATGTGTTGGGGCAGAAGACAAGAGGGTCAGCAAGGTGGCAGTGGGGGCAAGCTCAAGGGTCATCGAACAGGAAACTGGTCCAGAACTGTGAGGGGAGTCAGTGTGAACAGATGCTTAAAGGTCCTGACAGGTTAGGCAGATGAAGGAGGAACAGCCACACTAGATGTGCTAACAGCTTGTGCAAGAATAAGGAGGCCCAATCGCACATGGGGACAGCTGGAAAATGGCAAGGGAATGAAGACACTATGCATGTTCACCCAGGTCTTGGAAAGCCTAAACAATTGCTGGGACAAACTGTCCCACATCCATAGTTTGCTGGCTTGAGGGATGGAGACGCACCTAGAAGTGGTTCGGTTTCTATCTGGTACTTGACTTGATATGGGCAGAGTTGATAAGGGAATTTGTTATTTGGTGAGGCAGACAGTGGGAAGTGAGGTACTCAAAGAGTACTGGGGAGATCTTTATTGAATCTCCTCACGGTGAACAAAAAGTATACCTGCCTTAGTTGGATTTTTCTTGTTTCATTTACTTCTCCGCTGAGAAACTATCATTCATCCTGACCATGCAGTGTGAACGAACTCTCAGGGCAATTTTAGAGCATTCCTTTTTGATTAAGAATCCCAGGACTGTGAGCAGGTATCTAGGATATGCACACAGATTCCTGATGACTCTGTTAGGTTTCTATTACTTGGACACAAGTTTTATTTCCATATATGGTTGGGATGCATGGGGTTTTAGTGGTCTAGACTGTCACTCTCTAGATGTGGAGGCTGAGCTGTGTCCTGTTGGAAGGTATTGAAGACCACACCATCCCAAAATCTGCAGGCAAAACAGGAGTGGGGACTCTATCTTCCTTTCCTTTACTGCTGTGTGTGTGTGGGGGGGTAATATTATAGGTGCAGCAGCAACAAATGAGGCGTGTGGGGTGGGACAGTAGCTTGTCTGGGGAAAGGTTCACGAGCCAAACTGCGCTAATGTCTGCTTTCCAGATAGCTCCTGGCAACACCAGGACAGTAAGACCTCTTTCTTATCCTCTCAGCCTGGTTTCTTCTGTCTCTTCTGGGTGACTTTGGGGTACTGAGAAGATGGCAAGTCCAAAAGGCTGTTTCATTACTCTCCAGATTCAAATGGACCCTGGGCCCAGGCCGTGCCTCAAGAACGGGGCATTTCCCCTTAGTATAACTTCTCAAACCAAGGACTGTGAATCAGAATCCAATTTTATTTCTTGTGACAATGCTTTTCCTTCTAGAAGGATTTGCTAGGCAGAAGGGCTTGTCTGCTCTTACCACTCTGTCCCCAGTGACCAGGGAAGTGCCTGTGTTTTTACTGGATTATGTAATCTACAAAATTAGCAGATTTCCAGACCTTAGGAGGACAGAGGCAGAGAGGAGCTAGTGACGGAACACAGTTCTGATTCAGTGACTTTAGCCAGTGTTTCACACCCAGAAATCTTGGAGAGAGATAGTTTTGGTAAGATTAAAACCTTTTATGCTGGGAAGATGCTCAGCACTTAAACATATGTACTGTTCTTGCAACTGATCCAGGCTCAGTTCCCGCATCCCCATCCATGCGATGGCTCCCAGCCAGCTGCAGTCATGCTTTCAAGGGATCCGGTAGTGTCTTTCACCTTCTTGCACACCATATGGGCAAAACATTAGTACACATAACAAAAATAAATGTAGCAAGAACACCAACAACGTTTGAATGACTTAGAGCTGAGTAGTCATGGTCTGTTGGTACTACAGTCTCTAAAGGGCCCCCTAAAGTCTGCGCGGAACACAACTGGGGCTCTGGAAATGTTTGTTGAAAGTTGTAGGGGTTGGCCAGAAACCAGAGTCAGAAAACAAGAAGAAGAAGAAGAAGAAGAAGAAGAAGAAGAAGAAGAAGAAGAA